TTAAGCAACCTTCGGTGTACAAAAATTACTATCTGCATTAGAAATAGTCTTATTTTTCTTTAGAAAAGAATAAAATGCTAGTTTTTGTTTGTGAAATAATACGGTAATTCTAACCTTTTTTCCACATATAGATAGAATATATAACAGACATTCTAACGTAGCATACCAATTTTGGAAGGACTGCGGGCGGACTTAACCGATTTCGTCCGAGCATCACCGAGACCATCACCTGACGTCGCGAACTAACCCTAATGTTTTCGAAGTTGAAATTCACACGTGTATGAAAGAAAAAAACCTTTTATTAATAAACGTGAATGTCTCCTCATGCCAAATTAAATTCAAGAACTGTTCCTCAATATAACATAATTTTTTTCACGACTTTTACTTATTTACATAATTTGATTAGTAAGTTATTTTAAAAAATGCTCTCTCTCGAAGGCACATATTTTTCCACTCGTTTAATATATAAGGACGATTCAGCTGTGTACTTCTAACGAATCGTGCGATCTTTCGGTTTCCGTGACCAATCGTCGTGTCTTTACTTGCGTGTGCGTGTGTGCGTTAATAATATAGGTTAGGTTCTTACGTCGTGTTAAATATATTTACCTACAGTTACAGTGACATTCACTAATGCCATCTACCATCAGATCCAAGTATCACTATCGTCTCTATGAGTATCTATAGACAATTAATTTGTTGTGTTTCTTTTTAATTCATGGCTTTCCCAACTTTGCAAAAATTATTATTTTCTTTCTAAAACAACATACTAATTTTCGTTAGTTTCCTTATGAAGAACTGTAAAATATATACTGAATGAGTGTTTTTGATAGTCTCAATAGCAATTTCTATAACCTATGTCGTTTTTCCCTTGAATCTAACCTAACATACTAAAATGTCTCACCAGTTTTAAGAATTATTGGTATTAAAAGTTTCTCCGTGTAAATACGAAAATAATTTATTGAATAGAAAAATTTGAAAGTTTTGTATTAGAATTCGTGGTAATTTCATAGTTTATGAGGCAAACAAAAAAGATGCCAAAATTCAAAATTTTCTTATGAATCCTAAAAATTTAATCCCTGACTATAAAAACTCCTGACTCTTCCCTGAATTCCCTGTCTTAGAATTATGTTCATTATATTTATAATAGTATTAAAAGTATATTCCTATTTATGTTTTATTTTTATGAAAAAATATGAATTAAAAATTTTTAAATTCTATTATTTTTAAAATTTCTAATTTTATTTTAAAAAAGTGAATAAGATGTTAGCCGCGCGTGAATTGTTGCTAGTCACTATTAAAATCGTCCCATTGAAAAAAATTGTTTGAATACTCTGGTTTCGCTTCAACACGCGTATAAATCTTTCGCCTTCTTTTCATAAAAAATTAATAGTACCAACAAAACTGGAAAAGTTACAAAAAAAAATTCAATATAACACGCACTCAATACAACACACGAATTTATTATTCTATCATCTATGGAAGACAAATAAGCATTTCTTCTGTTCTGATTGTGAAAAGATTTTTCACGTCTCAAAGAAAATCAAGTGAATAGGGTTTGTAACCCTTGGCCTTGGAAGAATGTTTATGGGATTCCAGAGTGACAGTTTGTGTAACACCGGACGCACACGTGTTGTATTTTTCTTTTTTTTCGTTTCGTCGAGTTTCGCCGCCGATTCGAGATGAGTGAAAGACCTTGACACGTATACCGGTATATACCTGGAACACGCGGGAGACTCTTGCTATCCTGAAAGTAGGTCATTCAGTGCAAGGACAACAAGCCCGGGTTACAGGGATTTCTGCCGTGACACATAATAGTTCAAGGTTATGAAGGATTTTTCTTCCTAGGAATTATACTTTGTAAGACATTTTCTGATAATAATTCGACATCGAAAGAATGACAAAAATCATATTATAGATTGAAAAAAGTTTTATTAACGAGAAAACTATTCTTGAAATTGCTCTTGAACCTTTGGTAATTTCCAAGGTCGATTGCGGATAAATCAATGTCTGATAAGGTAATGAACTACAGAAGGTTGTACAATTTATTTTGTTTTTTTTGTGAAGTTATTTTATTGAAATACTAAAAAATTAATTTTTAGCTGGAAATAATTTTGTACTAATTTTTTTAGCTAAAAATAATTTTTTCGGACGCATTAATAACTCTTAGAACTCAAGACAGAATTTTCGTTTCATCGAATTTCACCGGAAATAATTTTCTTTCTGTCGATTTTCATTTTTTCAAACTATTGTTTTACTAAATTTGAATTTCGCGCCAATATTTTCTATAAATAACCAATAGATATCAGAAAAAATTGTTGCCTATAAACGAATTGGAAAGAAAAAGAGACAATTGAAAAGAACCAGTAACAGTAGCAATGCTCTTTGATTAAAATTATTATTGTACTTAAAAAATAGCGCAAAAATATTAAAAGAAAATATAAATCGATTTTAGAACCGAGATATAGTTTTTAGTATTTGCAATAATTTTTCTTGATACAAAAACATGAAATTCATTTGAGAATGGGATATTATCGTTTTTGTCACGGAAACAAAATACGTCTCGCTTTTCTGATTTAATGAGTAGAAGTTAAATGTTCAACAAACGTTTTGCTTCAGAGAAAGCTTTGTTTCTTTTTTTTCCTTTATTTTCATAGTTGCGAACACTAAAAGTATATTGGTAGGAGTGTCAGTTGCAACAAGAGTTTTAGGATACTACGCAAAGTTTTATGATTCATGAAATATAAATAATAAGCATTTTCAAGAAAGGAAAGGAAGCTTTAATATTTTGTACTTTTAAGTAAAGAGATCGTAGACTTTATTCTCTTGAAATTCAAGATTAAAATAAAAAAATTTTTTAATTATTTTATTATTTTTTCCATTTGAATTTTTTTTTTATTTTAAACTTAATTGAAAATGGGACATACTTAAAATAACATTGTAGGATATTTGACTGAAATTCAATAATTATTGTCTTTTTGTGCAGATATTTACTTGCTTATCCGAAATAGTATGTGTTTTAAGTAGTAAACGTCATTTGTGACAAGACATGAACATGTTATAAGTAGTAATAGTCAGTCATAATAAGGCAATGGAAGTAGTCTCGTATATTTTAAGTAGTAAAGGTCCGTCGAATTTCAGGTAAAAGAAGATTCTGTCAATAATTCTTAAACCATAAATTCACATTTTTAATATTTAAACAATAGGCTTCAAAAAAAATTTCCCTACACTGAGAAAACTGGAGTATTGGACTAAACATATGGAGGGACAAATCGTTGATATTTGAGAGTTAGCTATTGGATAACAATCTAAATGTTCAAATTCACCATTGACAGATATTCGTGCCATTTCTCTAACAGAGGGACAAATTAACCATCTTGAGAAATCCCTTCCTTATCCGGCGCGAAATGAATAAATATGGCAACCTAACCCCTAAATTAAATACATAAAATGTCAGAAAAATAATTTCGCGCGCATCAGATCGTACACATTTTCTGCGCAACTTTTAACCCTCAGATATAATGGGAGAGAATATACAAGTAGATTTCCATTATCAATTCAAAATTTATTTTAGAAGGACTATTTAACTCTCTTCATAAGCAAAGGAAACATACACTTTTTGAACCTCTGAATTTGACTCTCCAGTTTTCTCAGTGTAATGTTTCTTCCTTCTGATAATCATTAAAAACTATTTATCATCAATTATTTATTCTTTTATTTAATATTTAAATTAAATATATATAAAAATATATAAAAACAAGAGCGTAAATTATATTATTAGTTTCTACTCTACTGTCGACTGATACAAGAATCCTCAAAAAAATAATTTTATATAATCAATTTTAAAATTTTTTTCTTATTTTAGTTTATGGAATTTTTCAATAAAATAGAATTTCGTAAAAATAAAAAAATACTCCAAACTATGTTTCCATTTGATTAATTAAGAAATGTTAGAAAATAACAAAAGTTCTTAGTCTGACATAAATTATAAATTTAATAAAATAATTAATGTATTAATTATTCAAGAAAATGATCAATTTAAAATTTATTTAACTACCTAAGTAACTAATACACAAATTGATTGTTTTACACTCAGAAAAAGAGTTATTGCTATAACCAATTAAATAGTTGCTAGAGCGCGATCCAATTAATTGGTTAACACATCCAACTATTGGATACTGTTTCCATGCGAAAAGGTACCCCAGCTATGTATGTAATGCAGCTAAGGTAATGCAGCTAAAAAGTTGAATGTATCAACCAAGAAATAGTTGACCCATCCAGTTAATTGGATCGCGCTATAGCAACTATTTAATTGGCTATGGCAGCAAACTCTTTTTCTAAGTGTATTACATAATTTATAAATTAATTATTTTGTATACTTAATAAATTAATTAATTGAAAAATTTAATAACTAATTAATTGAAATTTTCAAGTACAAAAGAATGTTATAAAAATAGAGAAAAAATCCTTAAACTTTTTTCTTAATTCGATTATTAAGGAGCAACGTGAAAATTGAGACAAAATCAATTTTTGAAAATAATGTAAATATTCAGGAAAAAAACATTTTCCTTTAACTGAATACATGTTTATTAAATAGGATTACAAGAGTTTAAAGTATTTTTCTGGTAGTCGATAACCTCTTTGTGTACTCCAGTGCATTACTCTTCCTTTCATACACACGAACTTGTTATAGATCAAGTGAAAGAGGTATGAGTGTAGTCAGCCAACTTTAAACTATAACCATTATATGATCCACATAGATTTTAATCGACAAAATAACTACACATTTATGACACAACCACCATTTAAAATATAAAATTCGCTTTTCGTGTGCTAGTGCGAACTAACTTTAATTAATTATTTAATTATTTTAATTATTATTTATTGCTTATTATAATCTCATTAGGGAACGACAATAAACTACGTTACCAATTTTTCATTATTTTTAGACCTTCTTCGTGAAAATAACAAAAATTTTGTTAATATTATTATTTTTCTTGCAGTGGTTCCTTTTACGAGGGACAATGGCAAAATGGCAAACGGCACGGTCTTGGAATGGAGACCCGTGGCCGTTGGCTTTACCGTGGAGAATGGACAAATGGTTATAAGGGACGTTATGGAGTGAGACAATCCACGACATCTACTGCGAGGTACGAAGGAACTTGGGCCCAGGGTTTGCAAGATGGTTACGGTTCCGAAACATACGCAGATGGGGGTGAGTTGAAAATATTTTTTTCCATATTCAAATTTTGACATCTTTGAAAAAATAATCCAACTTTGCAAAGCGAATATCAATTCAACTGAATTGTATATAACGAAAATATTTTTATTTTGTCAATCAATTTGTGTCAATAATGTCCAAGCGAAAGGGTCGATCACCCCCCCCAACTCCTTTACTCGCAGTGTAATATTAGGTATTAATATATATATGCCTTCATTATTATAAGGTTTTATTTTACGAATCGCCCCCCCCCCAAATTTGCTTCTAAATGCGCCACTGATAATGTCAATTCAACTCAATTGTGTATAACGAAAAAATTTTACTAGAAAAAGAGAAATATGAAAATGGAGAAAATTAAAATTCTATTCTAATAAAAATTCAGTTAAATCAAAATTCTGTTCAATCAAAAATCGGTTAAATACGTAAATTCCATTTAATAGTAATTGCAGTTCAATAAAAATTTCAGAAGTGTAAATTCTTAAAAGTACAAACTTTACGAAAAGAGAATTTCTAAATAGAAATTTTGTTCTATAAAAATTCGATAAATTTGAAAATTTTTGTATATAAAAATCATTTCTTAACAGAAATAAAAATAAATCATATTTAAAAAAAAAATTCAACTAAATAAAAATGCTAAATAGAAATAAATTATAAAGAAATTCAACGGCATGGAAATTCGATGGAAAATAAATTCTACACTCGAAACTAATTTAAATATATTCCAAAATCGTATTTAAGTAATTTTTCCAAGGAAATATCACGTACAAACTTTAAAATCTTCGTTTTTATTACAAAAATAGGTTTCCTGGATTATCCAGGAGGGCAAAATAAAGAAAGACAGTATTTCTTTATCTTGCCAAGTAAACTCTACAGTAACTTATACACATTTCAAAGAATATGTGGGACATAAATCCAAACATTTTCCTTTAGTTTACCGCAACTGAACTTTAAATGCAGTGAGCAATTCTAAAGGTCTTAAAAACTTGTTACATTCCTTTTTTTCTTTTCTTCTTTTTTAACTTTATGGCAAACATTAAAGAACACTTGTCTCTCGTATACCTACTATTTTAATCTGTTTCAAACAAAAATCGATTTTCCCACAAAATAAAAAAGTTGTTTCAGCATACAGAAAACTAAAATTTTTGGAAAAAAATTCAGATATTTTTTGTATTAACCCTAGAAGGAGTAACTGGGGTGCCTGGACACCCCAAGCAAAATGTAATGTATTCCCCTGGCTTAACCAATATTTTTTTACGCTCAAAACCCGTTGATAATTTAGTTTGAACCTCTATCTTTTGACACCTGTATGTGCCGCCAAAAGTTTTGCTCTAGGAAGATCTCTATCTCCTGTTAAAGTACGTCTGGGGTGTCTGGACACCCCAGTTACTCCCTAACGTTAGAAAAATTATCAAGATAAGTAATTTCAAATTTTTTTAAAAAATCGTTTTCAATCAGTTAAAATCATCTGATAAAGTATAAATTGATAGGTAATCCATAAAAAAGTTGTATTTTATAAAAAAAAAACATTTTTATACAAAAATTCTATTTTTATGAAAAATAGACATTCTGTATTTGTAACAACTTATGAAATTTGAGTTAAGATTTTTTAAAAATTTCTGTGCTCTCTCTACAGTCAGAGATTAAATTCTAATACAAAAAAATGTGGTAAATGACAGTCCCACGTCACAAATTTAACATGCTTTAGCGCCATTTTTTCTACAGAACGTCACAAAAAATGAATTCACCCCCCCCCCCCTCTAAGGCGTGACGTAGTTTATGGACGGCCCCTTAATATTTTAACATATATTAGTTATTTAAAATTGTTAATTAAAACTTTGATTAAATATTAATTTACAGAATCACTTCATAAGTTATAAATTTTAATGTTAATATATTCAGATATATTAAGTTTGTAAAATTTTAAATTTATAACAACATTTTTAGTAAATATTAATTATTAAAGTCCATTTTATAGTTTATTTTTATGATTTTCACTATTCGGCAACTGTCTTAAATTTCTTTCACTTCAGATGTTCAAATAATTATGTTTTTTTAAGTAATACAAAAACTAATTTTTTTCCCTAAAAGTGTATCAAATTCTTAAGAAACTACAGCGTTTTTTGTGAAAAAAGTCAATTTTGCAATTTTTTTGGTGTTTTTTTGGGTTTTTACAGTTTTTTTTCAAAATTTTTTTAATTTTGGGTCAGAATTTCTCAAACGGATCACCTAAAACTAAAAATTTTTCTTTTTGAGACAAAATAGTTTTTTTTGACACTTTATAAGGTCAAGAAGAATCCCTAAAAATATTAACCAAAAAAAAATTTGTTTGTAAAAGTTATTAACAATTGAATTTTTTAGTACTGCTCAATTAACAAATTTTTTTCTCGAGTTCCAGTTGACAGATTTTAAAATTAAAATATGGGTTTTTTTCGTCTTGAATTGCACTATTTAAATATATTTTTTGTTTTTAAATTTTTTTATTTTTTATAATTTTTTATATAATTTGTTTATAAAATGTTAGTAAACAAATATGTTCTTCACGTCCTAACAAAAAAATTAAAATTGTCAAAATTAAATGTCTCCGAGTGTAAAACCGTTTCGAAAAAAAATGAGCCTCAATTAGAAAAAAAGTTATTAATTAAAAACTGCAGCTGTGTAGAGCTTTATATGACGTTAAACTCGCCCCGCGCACAATGGCATTCTTTACAACTTACTGTTCAAACTTGTCTGGAACTTACAAATTTTATCTGATTTTCATGGGTTTTGTCTTAAATTAAAGAGGATAAAACTTCTAAGAGATTCCTCTAAACAAATTTTTGAATTTTAAATTTTTTATATTTTTTTTGTTACTCAAAGTTAACAATTTACAAAAATTTTAGAAAAAATTATTTGTTATAAACAAATTATTTACTTTTTAAACAAATAAATGGCTTATTTCTGCAAAAAGAAAAACTATTTTTCTTATTTTAACGAGTTTAAAGTCATGTAAAGCTCTACTTGATTATTGATAACTAGATTATTCTTCATATGATTCTTAATAACAATGGTAATTTTTAAATTCAAAATAATTTTTTACCAAAATCGACATAGATTACTTAAATAAACATAAATTTGTCTGCAAAAAAAATTTTTTTATAAAAAAGAACCAAAGTTATCTATTTGTTAATTAACATTGTTTGCAACAAATTAAACAAAATTGTATTATGCATTATTATTTGACTGCTGGTCATGCTAGACTAGTTTAAATCGATTTAAATTATTTGCAATGAAAAAATAAAAAAATAAACATGATTTTTTTTTAAATATTGCACTGAAAAAACGTTGGGCGTGAAGTTGGCTTTTTATGTGCAACCGTTGCCTTAAAAGCAGGCGAACCTCTCACTTTCGTTTTGGGCGAATTTGTCTCCCAATTTGGGATAGCGGTTCGACTTTGGTGGTGCAAATTCTGGCCCAAAGATGTCGGTCGCATGCTCACCCTATTATTGGTATACATGTCGCGTTTCAGTTTCTAGATTTGTATATATATTTTTATGTGTTTCGTCGAATAAATAAATATGGATTTGTTTTTAAGTGAATATAACTTTCTTCATTTGCGTGATTTTAATTATCAAAATTTTGTGGGTGTATTTTTTTCGTTTATAAAACCTAACCTATAAATTGCATGTTTAATTTTTCTCATTTTTTAAAAATATAAATAAAAAATAACATCACGTTTTTAAGTTCATTTTATTAGACCGACAGATTAGCTCAGTCGGATAGATGCCTCGCTTGGCGGTCGTTTAAGGACCAAGGGTATAAGTACCCTTGGTTCGCGCCCATTTGGCTTGGTATTTTTCCGGCACGTGAGATAATCTGAGCGGGAGGTTTGACGTCGAGGTATAATAATGTGCACCGTCGATTATTGTCCGGTACACACCATTAGAACTCGACTGTCGATAAACCGGTTGTACTCAGGAGAGGTTTTCAACAGTTTCCCTCTTCTCTGGCGAGAAAACCCATTGACGGGTGGTCCAGGCGAATGCGAGTACTCCTAATAAAAAAGTCGGCTGTAGACGCAAAATTAGGTTAATATATAGAAAAAAATTTCATATGTAGAATGGTTATGCTTAATCCAAAAAAGTATTTCTCGGGGACTCTTGTCGAAGTGCGTAAGGCCAATAGGGCAGGAGTATAAACAATAAAAAAATTTAAAAAAAAAAGTTCATTTTATTATCAAAATTTTGTGGGTGTATTTTTTTTTCGTTTATACTTTTATGCTTTTCTTATAATATAGCAAATAGTATTTTACATTTTAGTAAAAATATTATTCTTTATTATATTGTTAATTTTGAATAAAATATTGTAAATAAAATTAACTATTTTAATTAATTTATAAAAACATTTTCATCATTAGATAAGATTACCTATTATTATATTATTGATATCAATATTTTAATATTGAAATCAATACTTCAATTTTGAAATATATAGCTATTCATAATTTAATAAAAAAAACTTTTATTGTGCTGTTAGATTTCAGTTTTAATGTTAAAATACATATTTCACAATATATATAGTAATGTTAAATCACATATACTCAAGCAGTCTATAATTTCCTTTTCTTAAAACAAACTCTCTCCCAAATTTTGGAAAAGAATTTCTACTTTATTTTGGCCGAATTTGTCGCTCAAATATGGTTCAGATTTTCACTAGAGCGAAAGTAGCGCCGCTCTACCACTAGTAGCGCAACTGTTCGTCCAATTTTTTCTCAGTGTGTAAATTGTTAACTTTGAGTAACAAAAAAATATATAAACAATTTAAAATTCAAAAATTGGTATGAAGGGATCTCTTAGAAATTTTATACCCTTTAATTTAAGACCAATCCCATGAAAATCAGATAAAATTTGTAATTTCCAGACAAGTTTGAACAGTAAGTTGTAAAGAAAGACAATGTGCGCGGGGCGAGTTTAACGTCATATCAAGCTCTACACAGCTGCAGTTTTTATTAATAACTT